TAACATCGACTTTCATTTGTTCCAATTATAGCATTGTACTATGAACTTCATTATTTTTTGTACTTATATTGTTCATTTTTTCAATTATACAAAAACATACAAACTTATTTTTTGTTCACTATACCAGTATACATTCATTGCAGTTATTTTTGCAGTAAGTTCAAGTACAATAGCATCAGAAGGTTAACTACGACAAATAGCAATGCAGTTCCACTGTGTCACTGGATTTCCTCCATGAAAACAAATAGATGATAGAAAATGTGAAAAAAAAATTGTACTCGATAGATTCATAATAGCATTAGACAATGTCAAATCTGAGTGACGACATCAACATGGCTAATGGAGCGCCGCTGTGAGGTTTGGGGTATGTGGTTAACATAAGAAATTTATGAGATAAAAGAGAGATACAGTGCGATATATGGGGAAATCAGAATTAAAAGTTAAATCACATAATGGATCCTCTCTAAATTCACATACTCATCATAATGGAGATGAGTATAAAGTGTCTGGTCCAAAAATAGGAATTAAAACCATTTTTGCCAAGTGTGTTCCAAATTCTAAGCAAAGAAAATACGACAATAATATCCATGTGTTCCCTGAGCAATTCTTCCAACCACAACATCAGTCCTGTTTTCAGTGATTTAAAGAAAGGGTTAGCATATACAAGATAATAATGAGCTTTAACATGAGTTTACAAAATAATCATGGTTTTGCAATATCCATATAGCAACATGACCAAGGAGGAAACTTTCCGTTAGTGAGTGCAAGAACTTCCAAATCTTTTAAATAATTTGATATCCAAACTTAAAAAAAAATCAGCACTTTTAGATGCTATGTTAACAAAGTGTAGCTCATCCTATGGTAACAACTACAATTTAACCGATTTGAGTCTTGCACGGGCTCTTAAATAAACCTTTTACGGTTGCAATGCAATTAAGTTACACCAATAGTTCAGAAAATCAAAATTTCCTAGATTCCTACAAATCATTCATCATCCTTTTGATAAATCCACCTAACCATCATGTGAGAAACTGTCATGTAAGACTCTGCTTCCATTCAATTAATATGATGTTCCTTATAAAGGTCTAATGACATTCAGTTGCATGTGTACATAAACAATGCTTTTAATAGATATAAAAAAGAATAATGATCAGCTTGACTAAACAAAATGACAAGAGCAAAAAAATGTCGTTTTGGATGTATTGGTAATCCAAATCCTACAAGCTTCACAGATTCTATTATGTCATATTTTTTGACACATTTAATATCATTTCTTTCTTTTTTCAAAACATGATAATCAACATAAATTACAAATCATAAACAACTTTTCTAAACAACAAACTTTCAGTGGTTAAAACAAAAAGAAAAAACTTTTGGTGGTTAAAAAAAACTATAATGGTTTTATGGACTTTGCCCAAATCTATTTTTGAAAATAAAAAGTTGTTTTTAGGGTCATGTGAGACTATAGCTGATTTTTGTAATTTTGATCCTAAAATTGGAAGGAAACTACATATTTGGTCCATGATGTAAATTTTTTCTCTCAGATTTTGTTTAACGGAAAAACAGCCAATATTAAATAAATGAGCATCTATTAACTTTATTAATTCAGGGACGAAAATTGTTATGGAAGATGAAATTAAGGACCAATAATGAAATCCGGTTCGTTTTTAAGACCAAAACTAGAGATAAAGCAAAACTAAGGAAACACCCATATCATATGAAAGCACCTAGAATGTTATGACCAAGGTTACATCATCCCACATGGAATGAATATTATTGTAATAATAAATGGTCATAAAATGAATATTATTGTAATAATAAATGGTCATAAATTAAATTAAATTGTCATTGCAATTCTATAAAAGAACATATGAAGTTAGCAAGAAACTTGTTAAGGGGATAGTTTCTGAACAATGTGAATAAAGAAATTTGACATTAATGCACCAGACCTCATTCATGGTATAAGTTGCTATTGATACCCAAATCTAGACTATGCAAGATTTAATAAAAAAAAAAGAAATTATTGAGTTAGAAATATACACTTATCGGTTTAAAAGTAGAAAAAACAATACTTTTAATGTTCAGATGCCAAGTCAATTCCACATTCTAGCTTATTCTCATACTTGTGAGGGTAGTGATGGTATGTAAGGGAAATTTCTTCCTTGTAGCCTTTCCAATGCTTTCTACAGTGATGGAGAGATTTAATAACAAAAACCATGGTAAAATTAGAAATAGAAAATGTGTAGGTTGTTTTAGGAGAATTAGAAATTTAGAATAAATAAAAACAATACCTATCATAATCCCAGAATCCATTTTCAAATTATACAAAACAATATAGCTTGTTACCTGACCTATAACCAAGCTATTTTGTTAGGTACCCCAACCATATTCAACTTTGAATCACCAAGATTATATAATTCTATCAGCTCCCACAATTACCCCAAGTGCAAGAACCTGTGCACTTCTCACATCCTAAATTTTTGTTGTAGACAACCCAAACATATGAAACAAACAACATATATGACAAGTTAACCGAAGAGTTAAATAAGTAATACATACTTTAACTAAACTTTATAAACCAACTCTCATGATGGGTCTCTAAAAAGGAAAAAGTGAAAAGGCTAGCAAAAATTGAAAATTACTTTTTAAAATTTCTACAAAAAGTTAAACTAATGACATATAGATCATCATTTTGGTTCCTATGGTCTTAATCTGACTAATGTTGTTTTATTTTCTACTTATATCCATATTGGAACCATACATAAGCAAGCATAAAATAAAGTAATAATAATTAATTTCATTTCATATAGAACTAACATTTCAACCATTCAAGAGGTATTTTAATTTGACTTTAGGTTGCAACATGGTCATTTTCCTACTTCAAGATTCATGTAACTTATATTTAATTCCTCAAATAAAATAAATGAAAAATCATAACCGCATTTATTAAGTAAATACAAACTAGAGTAAATTACTGAAATCGTCCCTGTGGTTTGGTCAAAATTGCATGTTTGGTCCCTAACTTTTTTTTTTGCACTCGGATCGTCCCTGTGGTTTGATTTTGTTGTGTTTTTCCGTCCCTATGGTTTGGTAAAAGTTGTATGTTTGGTCCCTAACTTTATGTATGTAAGGAACGAAAAATGTAACAAAATCAAACCATAGGGACGAAAAATGCAACAAAATCAAACCACAGGGACGATCCGAGTGCAAAAAAAGTTAGGGACCAAACGTGCAATTTTGACCAAACCATAGGGATGATTTCAGTAATTTACTCTACAAACTATAACATACTCCAAAAAGTGCATTATTTGATGTCTTTCTCCACAAAACGACCAAAAAGTTGACCTTCAAATTGTTCTTTTATAGCATTAAATGTAGATATTGTCTTCAAAACTTATGGATGAAAGCCAGATTGATAAACATAGCTACCATCAGTGTTCCCCCCAAATCTAGTAAACATAACTACAAACTCCACAAAGGCAGGTCACTTCAAGGATTATGATTCACAAAACACCAAAATCAACAGCTGGTTTATGAGTCTAACAATAATATAATCTTGATAAACTTTTGGTAATGAAAATTTGAAAGCATTATATAAAAATATGAGATGAAATCAAAGAAATGACATACTGATTCTTGTAAAAACAAGAAATACAAACATAAAGGTTAAAAGGGCAAAATGGTAAATTTTATGTAGCATTCAAGATATAAAGAAACAAATTATAGAGTATAAGATCTCAAACCTGCAAGCTTTAAATGAGTGACAACTCCCCTGTATCTACTCAAGACTTCCTCAAATCCATTACAAACCCTTCTTTAGGATAAAAGCATAAAACATCTTAATTGTATGTTGATTTTGCCATTTTATAACAAAAGTTGTAAGATTTTTATGAAGATATATTTTTATTGGATTATGAATTGTAAATAATGAAATTACTATACTGTCTCAAAAACCATAACAAAGAAGGAAAAAGAACAAAAGGGTAATAATGTAATGTTATTGGTACATTCATTGCTCTTAGTGAATTCGATACCAACAATTAGGTTAGAAAATTCGAGCCCTACACGAGGAAGACATTCAGTCACCTATGCAAAAATTTTGGAAGTGTCATTTTAGTAATTGTGGAAGCTTTCAACTAAACCTACAAGATAACAATCCATATGAATGTGATAATTTCCACTATCACACACACACACACACACACCAAATTTAGCAACAACTTGCACAGACTACAATACAATGCATAATATTACAAAAGTATAACATATTTTCGAAAAAACAAATCTCTCCTAGAATCATTAGCATACCAGAAGTCATCAAAATACTAAAGAAAAAATCAATTATCCAAATTCTATATAAGATTGACATATCTAGTGACCATATGATAGGATAAATCATATTTTGCAAACTGTATAAGAAAACATCATGAAATTCTACCTGTTCCAATGAAGTTTAATTATCTGCAAACCTTGAATACATCCGGTTAAGATTATTCTATGGTTTATGGGGTTGACCATAGGTGATGGTGATGGTGCAGGTGCAGGGGGAGCTGCAGGTGCATGATAATGTTGAGGATAAGTAGGATAAGCCTCCTGAACAGGATAATTATGAATGTTTGCGGCAACTATGAATACAATTGTTGCGGATAGCTTCTATATTGACTTCCAGTAAAAGATGATGTTGAATGGAACGATCGTGACAATAGATACTGAATACACCAAATGTGATTAACAAAACCAAAGAGAAATTTAATTATAAGTAAATCTAGCTTAACTTTCAACACCATTGATAGTTAATAGATCATCTCCCTACAGGAAGATAGATTGCAATAAATATTTAGCATCAATGTAATGTAGGAAAAAAAATGGCACCCGACAAAAGGCACTAATGCCTCTGATTCATACAACACTCCTTAAAAATTAGCAAAGATAAAGTATGAATTGTTTAGAGGAAAGAGAAAAAATATCACATAAAGTTTTATCAAAACGACAGCATGAACTTAAGTTCCATACAAAACCATTGTCAAAGGAGGAGTAAGAAGTATTGCTCTGTAACAATCGAAGTCACCTGCAACACAATTACACCAGAAGATAAATGAAAGTGTATTTAATAAAAAAAAGTTACAAAAATATTATTAATAAAAGACAAAATGACAATTTATAATGGTTTGATCATTACCTGCATTGTACAGATTGAATCTACAACTACAACATAGATCTCTAGAAACGAATGAAATAACTACATAAGCATATATCAATGGAGTAAGGGCTAATTAGTAATTACATATGTTTATTACCACCACCAGTAACGTCAATCCAACTAAATTTATTTTCAATTTCACCACTTTCAACATTTCGTAATCTAAGAACCATGTTTTGGACAACTCTTCCATCTGTCCATGTTATGTAGTTTTCTTCAGCCAAGCAATTGGTCCTCGTTGGTTTCACAGTTGTGATGATCATGTTGTTTAAGATATTAGAATTTAAATGCATCCTCACAACTTCTAAGAATGGAGTGAAGTCGAATTCTGCATCCCCCATTCTATCATCGGCTGAAAATAGTTCCCTATCGTATACTTCCTATATCAACAATATTGTTTCAAAATCTGAAATCAATTTACGGGAAGAGAATCAAGAGATTGAAGAACAGCCTACGAGTTTAAGGGGAAGAGGCTCTACAATCGAGAGAATTAAATCTTCACCCCACACCGGATTTAGGTTTTTCTTCACCACTCGAGTCTTCAATTTCTGTACAAAAAATTAGGAAAAAGTTATTTTTTAACAGAATGGTGGATAGTGACCCGCTAATAGGTTGTAGTGATGACGACCAGATGGTGGTTGAATGTGGCGGCGGGATAGGGTTAGGGCTACTTGTAACACCCAAATTTTCAAATAAATTTTTAGATTTTAAAAACACTTTTCATTCATAATTGTTATAAAACATCATTGTATCATATAGTCAAATCATAACATCACATCCCAAGATCATAATATAAAAACTCCTCGTGTGTGTACTGATCAAGCCGGCGCCTTCCCGTAATCCTCACTGGTATCTAAAACACATAACACAACACTGTAAGCATAAATGCTTAGTGAGTTCCCCAAAATACCACACACAACACATATTAGCCACTCGAGGCTATTACTCTGTTTGACCCTCTGGTCAATGTGTCTCAGTGGGACCCTCCAATCCCATAACTCCGTGGGCCCTCTGGCCCTAACTCTGTGGACCTTCCGGTCCTAACTCTGAAAACTCTGGTACATACATGGCATAAATCACATAGAAATCACATCCTGAAAAAGCATACAAAATACTCTATCACATAACTCTAATTACCACTCTAGGTAAAGTATAGTGAGAAGACTCACCTCGGGTAACTCGGTAAAATCTCAAACTCTGTAAAATCCGATCTAGCCTCCACCTAATCATATGAATTAAACACTCTAAATCAATACATCCCTTAAGGCTAGGCTATTCCCTTTCTTAGTACTCTCAGAAGGGTAAAAGACCATTTTACCCCTCTCATGGCTCAAAGACCTAAAGTTGACCAAACCCTAAAAGTCAACAAAAGTCAACTCCCCAGGTTACGCTTTGCGTACCACACATGTATCCTGGGCGTACCCGGTGTCTTCACAGAAAACGGGGTACGCGACCCCTTACGCCGCGCGTACTTGGATTACGCCCAGCGTAACTTCCAGTTTCAGACTCTAAGCATTTTGGGGTCTTAATCAGTTAAGACCCACGTCCAACTTCTAGATCTGGCCATTTATAACCCTCTTAATTCATAAAGTTGGTGACTTTAAGCCTTTGCATGGCTGGATAAGTCACTAACACCCATAATACTCCACTTCATAACACTAGAAAGCTCAATACTCAAGCATGACCTCATATCCATGACCAAGATGGAAACTTTATGGATTTATAACACAAATACCACTAAAATGGGACAGATCTAGGTCCATGGAGCACATTACACTCATAAAGTCTCCATCTTTGGGACTTTTAACCCTAAAATGGTCCATGCAATCATCTAATCAAATAAGGATGAAAGTTTTGAACTTTATACCTCCAAATGCAGCTCCTTCCTCTGTAGATCTCAGATCCAAACTTGCACTTCAAGCTCTAGCCTCCACAAGCTCCTCTCCTTCTTCTTCACTAACACACCAAGGCACTTTTAGCTCCAAAACACTCACTCTCAAGTTAAGGACGATTGGGAGGCTCTCTTAGGGTTTCACTCACTGATATGGAGGCTGAGAAATGAGCCTTAGCATCCATTATATAGTGCACAAGTCCAATATTAGGGTTTGCGTCTGGACCCATTACGCCCAACGTAACCCTGGGTACGCCCAACGTACCCAGGCGAGTCCGCGTCCAAATTAAGTGCATGAGTACGCACATCGTACTTTGCAGTACGCCCAGTGTACTCATTTGCTAAAAGAACTCTTTCAAAGGACCACTTTTGGCAACTTGACAAAATGGAAGGATATAATAGCTTTACCTGGATTTCGGGATGTTACAATTCTCCCCCACTAGAACCAGACTTCGCCCTCGAAGTCTCATGCCGAAAACAACTCCGGATGCTGCTCCTGCATCTCTGACTCCGGCTCCCAAGTCAGCTCGGACCCTTTCCGATGTTGCCACTGGACCTGAACCAGTGGCACCTCCTTGTTCCTCAGAACCTTGACCTTCCGGTCTAAGATCGCGATCGGTCTCTCAACATAATTCAGACCCGCATCCACCTGGATATCCTCTAAGGGTACCAATGCCGACTCGTCGGCTATAGACTTCCTCAGCTGAGACACGTGGAAGTTATCATGAATCTGGCTCAACTCTGCAGGTAGCTCCAATTGATATGCTACCCTGCTCACCCTCGCAATAACCCTGAATGGTACAATGTACCGGGGCCCCAACTTGCCCCTTTTCCTGAATCGAATCACTCCTTTCCAAGGAGACACTTTCAGGAGTACAAAATATCCAACCTGGAACTCGAGATCGAATCGACGCCTATCCGCGTAACTCTTCTGGCGACTCTGGGCCGTCAGCAATCTCTATCTAACCTGTTGTATCTACTCTGTCGTCTGAAGCACTATCTCAGTGCTGCCCATCACTCGCTGCCCTACCTCCCCCCAACAAATGGGAGTCCGACACCTCCTCCCATACAATAACTCAAAGGGAGGCATACCAATGCTCGAATGATGGCTATTGTTATAATAAAACTCAGCCAAAGGCAGATACGTGTCCCAACTCCCTCCAAAGTCCAACACACATGCTCGAAGCATGTCCTCGAACGTCTGAATCATCCGCTCACACTGTCTGTCCGTCTGCGGGTGGTAAGCGGTACTGAAATGCAGCCTAGTACCCAACTCCTCATGGAACTTCTGTTGGATAAGGTGTCTAAGTTCATAACTATTTCTGGTATGTACTTAACCAGACCCGGCATGGTCCATTTGGGTTGCATGGCACCATGCAATTGGATAGACTAAATGTGAGAAATAACACTTGTGGATTATTAATATATTATAAGTTCTAATATATTAATAATATTATTTAATTAGTTTGATCAAGAATTAATTTAGCTTTAATTAAGTGATCAAAAGATAACTAATTAAATATATGGGTTGATTATGTAAATCATCCATTACTTGTATAGTGGGCTAAGAGGCTCCATGGATTATCAAGTTGGGTTAAACCCATAGGATGCTCCATGGGAGTTACAAACTCATGGGTCATGGAAATGAAAAGTCATGACACATTAGGGTTTGCATGGTGTAACCCTAGATGTGTCAACACTATATAAGGAATCCATTCTCCACCAAAATCGGCTACACACATGAACAAGTGAGGGCTAGGCTGATTTTTGCAAGTGTAAGATTCTCTCAAAGTCTACTCCTTTGAATTTGGTGTTGTGTGAAGCATTTGAGGCATCACACTTGGGGTGCTAGGCTCACAAGGTTTCAATGATCATAAGCAACAACAAGGTAAGTTATTCTATCTTCCATTCAAGTTAAAATTGTTCCCCATGTATGCTAGATAGGAATATAACCTTGGAATTCACCTTTGCATGATAATTAGACAAACATAGATCCAAGGTTATTAGGGTTGCATGTACACTTAGGAAGTGTTAGAATGCTCAAAACCCATCAGTGGTATCAGAGCCTATGCTTGTTTGTTTGTTATTTGTGCAAAATTGTTGAAAAAAAGTCGATTTTATGTTGTTTGCCTGCTGAAGTCGCCGAGTCCATGGCGGGACTCGCCGATTTCATGTGTAAATTCATCCTACTCGCTGAGTAGGTCTGTTCACTCGACGAGTAGGAGCCTCAGAATGCATATTCTCGACTTTTGTTGTTGGAAATGGACTAGAAACATTACCCTAAACTGTTTTTGTACTTGAAAACTTGTTTTAGATGGTGTAATGTTTATGCTAATCCATTTTCAATGGCATTTATCAAAATTACAAGTTTTTAAGTGTAATTTTTGATTCTTGAAGGTGTTCATGTTCATGTTCTTGAACTTATGAAGATTAGATGATCATAGGATGTAACGCCCGCAGATTTGGGCTAGTCAATTTGGAGGCAATAAGTGTCGAAAATGACTTTTCGAAAAAGGATTATTTAGAATAAATAATCTTAACCAAGTTGTATAATATGTCTCAAGGTTTCCGTACATATAAAGAACGCCGAAATCCGAGTTATATCGAAGAAGTTATGACCCATTGAAGTTTCGCGACAGAACCGACACGATACCAGGAAGCGCAAATAGTGAATTTATGATAGACTGAGAATTAGCCTTCGCAATATAAACAAAATTCATAGAATATATTAAACTAAGAACATCGATAAAAAGAACTCCCAAATCTGACTTCGTATGAAGAAGTTATGATTTTTCGAAGTTTTGGATTAGCAGTGTACAACCCGAAATTCGAATATTAGATCGAGCAATTTTTAGCCGACACGACCTAAACGAGAATCGAAGATCTCGATAATAGTAGCATAATGAGAAAAAGATGGGCAAAAATGGACGTCGGATGAAGAAGTTATAAGGATTTAACGGACCAATCCTGTCCCGGCCCGTTAATAATATAAAGTTTAAAATCGAATCAAAATTATCCAATGGAGTCTTAACGAAAGTTGTAGATTACGTTCCCACCTTTGCGTGGATATAAAGAACGTCAAAAACGGAGCTCGTATGTGAAAGTTACAAATTTTTAAAGTTGGAAAGTGAATTTGCGAAGCTGAGGCATGGACTGATGACGTGGCTTAATCCTGACCGTCGCTTGCGGCCCACGGTCCTCGCTTCGGATTACGACACATCGCCCCTCGCTACGCCTAACGTCTGATCTCGGAACGCGCCGCGTACGAAGAGCTTTCCTCGGTCTACAAGCCTCCACGTAACTCCACCGAAGTCGCGCCACCTGTAGCCTTATCCGAACTACGCCCCGCGTAGTAATGCTGTACACCCAGTGTAATTGTGATGCCTCACACCTATAACAGGGGTGCGAAGGCAGCTGGTTTTTCACACTAAATCTTCTTCTCTCTCTAGA